GTCATCCCCTAAAGAATTATTTAATTGATTATTTATTTATTTATTTATTTATTTGCTGTACCCTGTATAAAATAGCTCAAGTGCTTCCGTCGTGAACAGTTCAGAAAAAACAGGGAAACTAAAGGGAAACCCCTTTAGTTACCCTTTAGGGGATGATACAATGTTTATTTTATGTATAAATATATAGTTTTAACCACGGCGATGTTGTAAATAAGCAGTTACAAATAACAAAAATCAAATAAAAATTAACACCTTAAGCGCGTTTAAAAACATGTTGTATTTAAGGACAATAAATCCTTTAGCCAAAAATATTATCATTCAAATATTATCACGCATTTTTTTAGGATGAGAAACAAAAATATTTTAAAAAAGGGGATAAGACAAGGAAAGCAGTTTTGTCCAAAGGAAATACAAAAGCGCAATTTGTGCGTTGTCTTCGCCTATTGTACGTAATTTGTTTTACGTTTAGACTGCGTTAGGGCTAGCCATACCCCCTTCGGCGGTCGTCCATGGGCCCCCCTCTGGTTTCCCCTTTGGCTGACCCAAAGGGAACGGAAACTACTACGCCAGACCTTAACTACGCTAGGAACTACGTTAGGAAGAAGTTCCCCCTCCTTCCCCTTTAGTTCTTCCGTTGAGGTTGAGGGGGAAATGGGGGAGAGATTGCGGTTGGGAGGGTAGGTTGGGAGGGGAGAGGGGGCGAGGTTGAGGTCGAGGCGGTAGATGGATAGCACGGGCGGACGGATGTCATCAAGGAGGCGGAGATGCAGCGGCGGATTCCTGTTGAGCGGGTGTAGAGTGTAGAATGCAAGTGTAAGTGTAAGTGTAAGTGTGAGTGAGAGTGTGAGTGCAAGTGTAAGAAGTGTAAGCATAAAAGTATGTACATACAGCATACAGGATGGTCCCACATTCGCTCCTACATGCACCGAGCACACGCATCCTTCAGTGACTTAATAAACTAGCCGAAGCCCAACTCAAGGATACGTACAGGTTCCAGTTCCAGGTTTGAAGGACGTTCATACGCACAGACAGACATCGCAAGGAACGTACATCTCCCGGCCAAGGTGCAGCAACGCTTCTAACAACATGTGTGCGCCGAACCGTGCATGGTGTCACAGGATATCTCCCTCAAACACGATCCCGTGCCATATTAACCCGGTGCCTCCATTTCATTATTACCTCATTTCTGGAGGACGAGCTCACATCTGGCTGCATGAGCGCCTCAGCGTAGGCTTCTGCCAACTCGTCCGCAACGGTCAACCCGCTTGCCTCTACCTCGACCAGAAGCCGCTTGAGGAAGCTGCGTATGTATGCAGGGCGCAGCCCAAGCACCGCCAGTACGGGATCCTGGCATAATATTTTGAGAAGGATGCGCTGGGCGTCTTCGTCCAAGGGGCTCGGCTTGGAGTTTTCGGCAGGAGCTTCGCCGACAATGGCAGTTGGGCCCAGATGCGAAAGCTGTTTGAGGCGTTCGATAACCTGTTTGGACGTATACCAATAAAAAGAAAACATGCATGCATAGTTTGGTGCGGGGAGAGGTATAACAAACCTTTGGTGCTGGAGCTGCGCTTCGCAGGAGGCAAACGATTTCCCACAATTCAGGGCTGTAGGGCTCCATCGGAAGCTACTTGTGGCAATCTACCACTTTGAAGGTTTATAAGGTGATTTACAGAGACAACGCCCGTTGCCTCAGCGAACCCTGGAACGTTTCCAGTAAAAACGTTCCATTTGTCGTACTTCTGTTTAGTTAAGGCTTGCGCCGCAAAACAATTGACCATGGCTAATCATGATGTGGGAACTTTCAAACACTGTACTTCCTCGGTTGCGGAATCAAGCAGCTCTGTGCCATGGGTTGACCATTGCCCTCCGTGAATCGTGTTTTGCTTCAAAATGCTGCACCAATGAAAGTGTGCGTCACAAAATAGATGCTTGGAACCATCGCTCTGTGTGCAACTCACCAGCGGTTGGCGTGTGGAGCTCATCAAGGTCGTCAGCCCAGGCCCCGTTTGCCCAGGTACAAGCTATCGCAACGCAGCTTCCATCATCCTATGCTTCTGGTACGGTGTAAACCATTCCCCAACGCAATCCTAAATAGGTGCTTGAGCGACGATGCTCGATGAGCGATGTCCGGTTTGCGGCGACATCAGCAACAGCTCCCACATCTGCGGAAGTTAACGCACCTGCGTCTGCAGCGCCCGTCGGGAAAGTGACATCCTCATCCGCAGGGGATGCCGTACTCTTTGATCTAGCCCAGCGATACCCGGACCCGGACACCATCCCCGAGCACATCCTGCGGCGCATTCGCCACCAGCTATTCGGCAAGCCCATCCGGCCGGGGGAGCAAACCGGCCGACGAGCCCTAGCGAAGCCACTCCAGGGCCGGGTACTGGCCGACTGGTACTTCATGCCGCCCTCTGAGCTCCCAGGTTTCCACAATGAAGAGCGGGAATAGTGAGTCACTGTCACTAGGCATACATGTTGCATCGCCTGGGGACCTGATCGAATCCGTAATGGACTCGAACTAGAGACTAGAAGACTAGAGACCCAGAAGGTGCAGAGAGAAGTGTTGTGGGTGGCAGGAAGGGCTAAGCTAAACGGGTGGCTGATGGCATTGAAGCCTAGCCTAGCCTAGCCTAGCCTAGAGCGAGAAGACTAAGAAGGCATGCAGGTGGGACGGTGGGATGGAGGGTCTCAGCGCCATCCTCAGGCTTACCGTTATAGTTACAGTTACAGTTGGGAAGGGCGGTACCAACTCCCGAATACCCCAAATACGTGCTGCCATGCCGTTATCCTCATGAACAGACCACAGCTTTTTACGCTGATCCACGCGGGGGTGTGTGTTGGTTGCCCTGATCCCTGTCGCCCTGATGCTCTGCTGCTGTCGTGTGACTCTGCTGCTGACTGACTGACTGACTGACTGACTGACTGACTCTCTCCCTCACCCTCTCTCTGTGTTTCCTTCCTCTTAACTTGCTTTGCTTCATCAGTGAGCTTAGCAAGGCATTGAATCGGCGGCATCGCAAAGGGGATGGCACGGAGGGCGATGACGACACCACCGCGAGTGGCAAAGCAGCGGCGGGTGGCAAAAAGAAATGAGTATACAACAAGGACTGTGTGATTAAGTGGTCGGGTTCTTGAGAAAATGTGGCGTGTCATGGTCTCCTGGCTACCTGGCTCAAGTACATAGCTTCTAAAATTTGTGCTACTTCAAACTCTTCCGCAATGGCAGGGACTGCATGTTTAGGTGGTGGTGGGCGTGGTACGTTTTCTGTATGGCAGGCGGCATGCTACGATGAGGTATGATAGCGGTGTACGACATGTCGTACATCTTGAGCCCTAGTACAAGGCTAAAGCCTTGTGGAAGGGAGTTCGGTTGGACAGTGAGGCGATGGCATGTCGTACAGGCACCTGGAGGTTTCCAACGTACGATGGCTCTTGGACCTTGTGGTCCTAAACCCTGTGGAAGAAGGGATGATGTGTAGAACCCTCATTCACGAGGTCTGGTGATGCGGTAGTCAGTGTAAGGCTGTAAATCATTAGCCCTGATGTGTTCACGTTTTGGGTTCCATGCATATGCACGAAGCGCAGAGCGTGATGCCACCCGCCTTTATGAAGGGGTAAAGGTTACCGCTGATGCTGCAGCCGGCTTGAACACCGTAACACGAACACCTACTCCTCAGTCACTGTGCTGCGGCGATGGCGGCCACATACAATCTCGCTCTAACCCACGAATCCATTGTACCAGCAAACATACCTTTGCACCTCTAAGCAAAAGCGTGCACTAAGCGTAGCAAACTTCCGTACTGTGGCAGTCTGGCGAAGTCGTCGTACTTTACGGAAATAAAGCGACATCCATGTAGAGATAAACTGAAGCTGCGAGAAACCACCGATACGCTTGGAGAGGGAGGGGGCCAGGGTGGAGATGGCGCCGATGGCGGCAGCTTTGTCGTACTGATGTACAGCATTTGTACAATGGCGCACTGACTCGTTGCTTTTGCCAGAGCCGCGAAACCAAACCAGCATCTGTAATCCGTGGCATTGACCAAAAAAACACACATGCCAGCGATGCTCTATCCTACCGTGCCCTCGTCGCCGCTGCGGCAATGCTGGTAGTAGCAAATAGAGCTGCCCCAAAGCACTAGCAGCTAGGATAGCGATGGCTCCGTGCTTGCCGTACAAACAATAGGGTGATTACCTCTTGTGTACGGCATTACCTCCATTTCCTTGCGGCCACTTGGTTACCTCGTGGTTGTTTACCTACCTCAATGTCCCGCCCGTGGATCCGCCCGCCTTCACTATGCTCCTCCGTCTGCGTGCGGCCGTCCAGCATCTGGGTCTCCTACACCGCTTATACATACACTTCACGCCTATTGAGAGGTGATGACAAACACCGGCGGCCCGCATCAGCAGGGCCTTACATAGCCCTCATGAAGCTTCCCAAAAACTAAACGGTATCCGAGCTTTCTGTGTGTACGGCACGTGCCGCTTGTCCTCTTGTGGTTTCGTGTGTGGCGTGTCACGATCCTGTATTGACAGCAGGCGCCGCTCCGGTCACGTGCATTCCAGCAAATACGGGAGCAGACATCTCCTTGCCTGGGGAGCTCTGTCTGGCAGTCGGCCGCTGTACATGGTGTTAGCAGTACGGCAGGAGCTGTCATGAAGATTCCGCGGTAGAGACTCAGATTAAATATCATTATCTGTGGTGGAAAGAAATCACTTTTGTCATTGTTACCAACGTCCCGGTAATTTTCCCATGCTTTCAAACGTTTTGGTAACATCTCCGGAACCCAACCGAAATGTACATCTTTTGTATATCCTTGCGCATTGGCGAATAGCTTTGCAAACTAGAGCGGAATCCTCTCTTTCCTGCAGCAGCCAAAAAGCCATACATAAGACTAGACATCGCATATGAGACTCACCGGCAGTACAGCAACAGCATCAGAACGGCAATTTCGCCAACCAACCAACCAACCAACTTAACTGACCAACCCAACTCCGCCCTACACGTCCAGATCCCGCGTGCTTGTCTGTTTTCGTCGTGTGCTGCTTCCCCCGCTTAAGATACCTCCGCCACCACCACCACCACCTATGAAACTCCCTGCACCCCCACCCGCCCCCTCCCCTCCTCTCCCTCCCCCTCCTCCGCCACCTCGACGCCGACGTCGGCTGTAGCACACCCGCATCAGCACCACTGCTACAACCACCACCAACCACAACACCCCGGAGCCGTTAAACCCAAATAACACGGCCATGAAGAACTCCCAGAGTCGTACAGTCAAGGCCCAGCCACGCGTGTCGTACATGCTCGTCACGGGATGTAGTTTGGGGTAGATTTCCAGGAACAGAAAGCCAGCCCAGGCTGCCAGCTCCAAAATCTGCATTTTTATCAGGAAGCGAAACACCACAGCTGCTGCCAGCGAGATGACCAACAGCCCCGTGAACAGCCTGAGAAAGGGGTAGGGGTAGGGGTAGGGGTAGGGGTAGGGGTAGGGGTAGGGGTAGGGGGTAGGGGGTTTAAGACGAACCACTGGCGAATGAAGCAGATACCGTTGGGGGTTAGGGGGAAGACTATGCCAATGCGGGTGCGCGTCGCATGCCAATGCGGGTTTTTTCCCGCCTAATTCTGAGAGAGAACGGGGGGCAGGGAGAGGGGGTTAGCCTAGGACGCGGGTTCGGGCTGACGACACGGAATCAGGAAATCGCTGAAAGTGAGGGCAAAACGATTCATCGCGGAAATGTACGACACATATTACCGACTACACACACACACAACGCACGATAAAGTTGCGCACATTACTGACAACGGGTTCAGGGATGATGAAGGCATCGCATATCCTTTTCGGGGGCCAGACCGCAACACAAAGGGAAGCTATGTCGCCAGGAAGCTGAAAGGAAGCTCGACAAGCTTGAGGTTTCCCATTTCTCGTGCCTCGAGAGGCCTTTTTCCCCATTCCCTTCATTTCCCCTTCACCCCTCTCCATCACACACCACACCATACCACACCACAACCACCCGCACACACCAACCTGTCGTTGTAGTCCTTTCCAAACGCCTTCCGAGCCCTCACCCAAGCCTTCTCCAGACGCTCCGCGTTCGGCGCCTTGGCGGGTCCCAGACAGCGCTCGGAAAATGTCATTTCGCAATGCCGGTAGGAGGATTCGAACTTGCGCAGGGAGGGCAGCCGCATGTTCTAGTGGGAGACGCGCGCGATGATCAGGAGTCGTCGTATCGAACCCCACCGGTGGCATTTACGGACGGATGCGGGGTATAGACGGTTCCGAGGAGGAGGGGGGACGGGAGGGAAGGGATGTGGAGTTGGGGTTAGTTGCCCAGGCGCCCCGGCCTCTCCTATCAGGTTTGGACTTGGACGATGTGAAGAAACATGCAGAAACATGCAGACACACCGACAGACAGACGCACAGAGATACACACACAGAGGGACACACAGACAGTCACAGACTGACAGATTGGACAGATTAAGCTGGAACTAGAACGGACAGACAAAGGGAGAATCCTTCCAACAGAAATATCTTTTTCGTCTTGCAAAACGCACCCCCCCCTCCCGCCGCCCCCCCCCTCAAAACACACCTGCATGTGGTCCAGCTCCTCTTCACATCGGTTCTCCAACTCGGAGCAAATGGCGTTGGAGGCAGCCAGGTTCTCTGTACGACGAATCTGAAAAAGGGGAATCGAACGGCCCAGGGCCCGGGGAGTAAGTGTGTTTTGTTTTGGAACGGCGTTGTGGCGGTTGCTGCGGTTGTGGCGGTTGCGGTGTTAGCGGGTGGGTGAATGGGAGAGGGGAGGGGAGGGCGCGGAAATAGACGCGGGTGATCACATACATGCAGACATACATGCAGGACATACGTGCACACCACCGACAACGGGTAATGGGAAGGAAAGGAGGCGGGTGGGGGCTAGTTACGGGTGGGGCGTGGGGATGAGCCTGTGGCGATGTTCGAGGTGTAGGTAGGTGGGTGGCATGCATACAGACACGGGTTCAAATCCGCCTGCCGACTCCTCGGGTGTTTGAGGAGTGTTAAAATGGGAGGTGGGCCCCCATCATGTGGACGATGTAGGCCGTGATAAAATCAACTTGCGAGCTAACCAGGAACTAAGTTGATGCGCCGTTGATCCGCTAGATTTGGTTGGATGCTGGTGGTGAGTTGCTGAAACCAACGAATACACTCTGAAGTCGGATGGGGTGACGGATTAGGGTGCCCCTCTCGCAGGGGAGAACAGGGACTGCCCCGGGAAAGGGGGCCGCTGGCGAAGTTAACCACCCTGTAACAACATACATACAGACGCACGTACGGCAAACACACATACGCATACGTACGACATACACACACGCACACACACCTGGTAAACTCGCTCCAGCTCCT